CCAATTTCAGCAACCACTGCGCGAGATGCAGGACGTCTGGACTGCTCGCAAAGCTGAGGAGATCCAAGGGTACGCGGACCGCAAGGAATGGAAGAACTTCTTCTCTGCGATCAAAGCTGTCTACGGCCCGCCGACGAAGGGCACTGCTCCTCTCCTCAGCGCCGACGGCAGTACTCTCCTAACTGAGAAGACGCAAATCCTACAGCGATAGGCCGAGCATTTCCGAGGCGTCCTCAACCGCCCCTCCGTCATCTCTGAAGCCGCCATAGAGCGTATGCCGCAAGTAGAGATCAACGTGGACCTTAACCTCCCGCCATCTCTCCAGGAGACCATCAGGGCCGTGCAGCAGCTCTCCAGCGGGAAAGCACCCGGATCGGACGCAATCCCTGCCGATGTCTACAAGCACGGAGATCCCCAACTGAGGGATCAGTCGACTGCGCTCTTCCAAGAGATGTGGCGTCAAGGTGAAGTTCCGCAAGATTTCAAATACGCAGTCATCGTGCATCTCTACAACCGCAAAGGGAATCGCCAAGTCTGCGACAGTCACCGCGGCATCTCCCTGATGAACATCGCCGAGAAGATCTTCGCACGAATCCTCCTCAACCGCCTCAATAACCATCTGGAACAGGGCCTTCTGCCGGAAAGCCAATGCGGCTTCCGTCCTCATCGTGGGACCACGATATGATCTTCGCCGCCCGCCAACTGCAGGAGAAGTGCCAGGAGATGCGGACCCACCTGTACTCTACTTTCGTAGACCTGACGAAAGCCTTTGACACGGTGAATCGTAAAGGACTGTGGAAGATCATGCAGAAATGAAGTGCAATAAGCAAACCCATGAAAACTGCAGTATTTCTCCCTGTGCTATCTGAGACTCCGAATTATTCACATATATTTCGGGTTTTACCCAACGTCTGCTTTGGTTGGTTAATGAGTTTTAAAACAGCGTTTGCAGACAGTTGCCAAGACTAAACTCAGATCATGTCAGTTGATCAAAATATACAACGAGTACGCAGCAAAGCACAATCGCAAATCATTCCTCGACACTGTTTTTCGTGACCACAACTCAAATCAAATAATACTCAGATATATTTTCAGAGGACGCGGACATTTTTTTTTCAAAATCTGCAGGGTTTTTATAAAGAGGCCCTTTAATGCTAGCCAGATTAGAGAGCACACTGGCGCCTAATGAATCCAATGCGCAATGTGCTTTATAAAGTAAACTTCCTTATATACAAACCACAATTGACTTACGTGCTAGTGAAGGAATTTCAAAACGCATTGACCGCCAGTTGATGTCTGTGCGCATCACAAAATCATTGTTTGTAATTAAACTCAGCCATTCAGGCGGTGACGTGCTCGATAATCGCTTACCTACAAAGTGCCGAAATAAAGTTGTTTAGTTTGGAATTTGTATTTATTTCCAAATCCTGAGGCTAAGATAGAAAAGATACGTGGTGTTCACTTAAGCCAACCAATGAACGAGAGTGCATTGTCATGTTTTCTAATGATGAGTACCTTTATTATCTAAATTCCTAACTATTTTGGGTTATATTATACGAAGTAGGCAAATTTATGGACGTTTGAAAGGGAGGTTAACTAAACGTAGCGCACGAGCGTTGACGAAAAAAATAGAGTAGTATTCGTTCATTTACTATAAAATACGCAGGGTTATTCACATAGGATGCGTACCTCAACACGGCCCAACATGATGCGGAGAAACAAACAATCACCATCGACGAATAATGACAAGCTTAGATCTACCTTGAAAGGCTCGCCAAAAACTACAATCAATTTTTTAAATCATTATAGACAAGTCAATGTGACGGATGAAATTCGTTTTTTTTATTAAACGGTCTCCTTCGGTAGGTGCTAATGATGAAAATGAAACAATGAAAATCTGCTATTGTCATCCAAAAACGTTTAGGTAAAGCTAGAGCGGGCATAAAAAGGAAAAGTATGTAGGATACCTTCAAAATGACTGTGGACAAAAAAGCAAAAGCATATGCAAATTATAAAAATGTCATTTTAGAAATGAGAATACGTGCTAATTTTGAAGCATGAAAGACATAAACCCTTTCTTGGAATGCAGAATATAAAGACGAATTGCTTTAATTACTCCTCTTTTCTAGTTCAGCAAATCTGGTAATAAAAAAGAACGCATAGTTCAAGTGATCAGCACGTGGTTTTTAAGTATCACTGGCAGATGACCACTAATTAGCTAGAAATTTCATTCCGGTTTCCCTTGTCGTTGTCTATATTACCACATTTACTGAAATATATATTTATTTTCCCAAAGAACATGAAATACAACTCGGGCAGATATTATACTACAAAATTACAGCGACGTTAGCTGTCAAAAGTATCCACGACAACCTATTAATAATAGGATTTCAGGTTGATCAAAGCCGCAATTTTCTGCGTCCTAAACTGCAAATCGAAAACAACATTGAGGACTTTCTGCTGGACCAACCAGACAATATTCCTTACCAGTTAATTAATATGTTTTTGAAAAATTAGTTGAACTTGCATTATAGGTTTTGTAATAAAATCCGGTGGATCATCTGATGTTTTTCTGTGCGCGGTGCCCGCATATGTAATGTCTGACCTGTATTATTAAAAGGACAGTTTAGGCAGAGGGTTTGATAAATTACACTAGACTATTCACTGTAATTAAATCACTCCATGGTTTTCATTACATTGTTAATCACCGTAGTTTTTCAGCCGTTGTACAAATCCGACACCTATGTCGACCCTAAAATGTCCTGGGTATATATCAAAACATGACATACCATAATTGCTCTTCCTGAATGTGTCCTCCGGCAGTGGATAACTAAGCATTCCATCATAAAAGCCATCGAATAGCCGTTCTGCATATTTAGGTCATATTTAGGCATTAAGTGCCGCAATGAGTTTGGATCGGTTCGAAGGGTGTTGGATATGTCTTCGCTTGTGACCCACCCTGTCGTTCCTGCAAAAGCTACGTGATGTTTTTAGCCCTTCTCTGGGCTTTTTTTCTCGTATTCTTTTTTTGTAAATTAAAAATCTTCTTAGATTGGACTAAGCAGAGTACGGAAGTTCAACAGTATGTCGTTCTTGAAGATATGGAACGTGTCAATGATCGACACATGCTGGGTGTCGACTAATGTTACCAGGACATGCAGCACCAGCGGTCACTTTAAATTGAATATTACGACGGCCATTGGTGTTCCCTTAATCTGCGCATAAGTTTCTCCAAAAGAGGTGAAGTTCTTTTGGAAAAACGAAAACGGACTCGTGAGGTGCTGAATTTTAAGCGAGCCATGAGTTTAGTCTGACGACTTCCAAATTTATTCGCGCGAAGCGTATGGTTCCAAACTCGGCGTTAAGGACGTCTCGTCAAAAGGGACCATGATGTTGTCCGATTGATCGCTCCGGACACGGATGTCTACGGGAAATCCGGAGGCTCAACTAACTGGGACATTTGAGTTTTCTGGTACAAACTTTCTTTCAAAGACATACAGTTCGCAAGTCTATAGGCAAGGTTGTCTTCAAGGGCAATAATTGTCCTGATTATTTTATAAGAACGCAGGCACTCAATGCATTAACGCAGGGATACGGAAACATGTGCGGTCCATCGCTAACTAGTCTCAGTAATGCTTGATTGCTACATACCCTTTATAGACGTCATTTGTTCGGCTGCCAGTGGGAAAAATTATTTCTGCAACAGCTTGAAGGCTAGATCGCAGTTGGTAGCCAGGAATGGCGGAGCGGACGGCGACCTTAACACTAACCCTTATCCTAACCTTAACCCTAACTCTAACCTCAAACTTAAACGTTGACGGTTAACCCCAACGGCAATCCAAACTGTAGCCCTTACTGAAATCGTAAACGTAACCGTTACCCTTGATCATAGGCGTAACTGGAAATCCTAACCGTAATATTGAAACCTTATCGTACGCTCAACCCTTAGCCTAAGCCTAAAGTCATAACCCTAACCCGAAACTCGGAAACCATTAAGCAGTACCCTAATCCTAACCTCGGACGTAAAACGGAAGACAAGTGGGTCAGATGTAATTATGGAACCCCACAAAATAACTCCAGTAAACAAAGCCTCAGTCACCTGTATTACCGGGCCTGGCGACCAACTGCAATATAGCCAGCTTGAAAGCTCAAACAAATAAGGATATGGCTTTGACGAATAAACATCCTTCTAATTTCTTTCTCTTACATAACTCTGAAAATTATCCACAAAATCGCCTGAATGTGGGCCGGTAGGTTTGCTTTTACTGTCATATTGATATCATCAAATTGTCCTGGTAGGCACAAGGCAGCGAAGTTATTTGCTGTTGTTTGTGTCGAAAGATGTCTTTAAGTACTCAATGAATAGTTTCATTTTGCATGTATTTGTGCATTATTGGACGGTCGCTGTTGTTATTCACGGTGTGATAAACCGTGCATTCGCTGTTACCAGATATCGGAAACGGACGGTTAGGATAGGTCACGTCTTCATTCATGAGTATTTTTTGATGAAATGTTAACATTAAATGTAAATAAAATATAAGTGATCAGTTAACAATGTTAGGGAAATTTCGGTGCACATATACTGGTTCAACGTGTATGTTTGAGGGCGTACACTTTAGAAAATAGCATTATTTACCTATGGACCTATGTTGTAATGAAGGCTAAGATATGCACTATGTTCAGTCGGCATTTACGCATTCAGAAGAAGGCGAGTAACTGATGACGAAATGACACCAAAACGAACAAACACTCTCAAAGTGTTAATGGCCCTCCGTCGAGGCAATAATTCATAACGCAAGTATGGATCAAGACTGCCGAATATCCCAAAAGTGACAATAAAGAGAAAAGAAGAGCAACATCAACTAGCCCAAGGCCATCTTAATCATCACACTTGTCACAACTCATGTTCGAGTTTGTGAATTAGATGAATGTACGATGTTGAATTAATCGGACAATCAAAGCCATCAGAAGCTAACTATATTGTATTAATTGGGGCATTTATATCACTCATGAATTTAAGTCTCTTCAGATAAGACGATTGTGCAAATTTAACTCAAGCGGTCTGCCGACGCTCACGGACGAACCTTCTGTATTAGCCGTCTACTGGTAGCTTGGCAGTACCTCCTTCGCGACTCCTTGCCTGGGCTCAAAACGGAATGCGGGCGATCGCGTCCGGGTTCCACTGGCTTGGCTACTTTGACATGAATAGCGTCATAAGGCGTATCAATTCTACCCTGACACTGTTCGTTCTAGATCGCTTATACAATACCACATACAGACCAGTCCTGTCTGATCCGCATGCTTACCCCTCAATACTGGCATTATAATCTGTTATCTACCGCTACATGAGGGCCAGTCCTGCTCGCATCTTCGTGTTATCATGAACGACGTTTTTAAGTTAAATTATAAGAACGATGTTTAAATTCTCAAGTGGAGTTTCTTCACTACTCTATCATCATTTTTCTTAACGGACTACAAATTCAGAAACTATGAATTGCGAAGTGTACATATTCTGTCTAATTCGTCTAAAATTCATATGTGAATTTACTTTAACAGGTTTTGATATGATGCCCATGGACGGCAGCAAGTGCTATGAAAACTGCAGACCTTGTGCTACCATCACCTTTATCTGAAAAAGTATCTGATGATTGATTCAAGTGAGAATCTAAAACGTCAGGCCAATCA